TTCTCTTCGTGCCCGAGTGATGCAAATTTGCATCATCGGTCATTTTCTTGAAAACCACTTGGATTTGTGGCAATTTGAAATTACCAATCAAAAGCCCACATTGAGCTGGATGCGACAAAAAAAAGCACAAGATAGCGTAAAATAGACGCCTCAAGAGCCACAAACGAAGGCACCCTCAGACTAAAAAAGGCCATCGTCGCAAAGTGAGATGAGAAAGGACAAGGATGGAAGACACCACGAGCGCCCGCCCTGTGTACACGCCATTTCGCCACACGCACGCTTCCCATGGGGGCTTTAGCGTCTTTGCTGGAGCTGCTACTCCAATAGATTGCTCCCCCCTCGCCATATTTCAGCGGTTTGTATCGCCTGAAATGCTCTGCTCGCTAGTAATGCGTACGCTGTAACCAAAAACGCACGAAAATGGACAATTATGACTTTCAACGAGCTTCAGACGTGGATTGGAATTATTATTTTCATGGGAATTTACCGTATCGCTCGCCCTCGTCCTCAAAGCGCAACTGCTTTGCCGAGTATCACAATCAGGTGGCTACACTGTAGGTCATCCCTCCTAGAATTGCCTGTCTCTGTAAAGAACAGAGTTGATACACAAATTAATATAAATATTTGTATTGGTAAAATATGCACTATCCAACCGGGCACGAAGAGATACGCACGATCAGAAAGTACGTTTTTTGCAATTTTGGTCAGAACCTTGTACTTGCTGACCGTGCGTATATGTACTGTATGAACAAACTTGTTCATACTCGAAGCAGCTTCTCCTCAACGTCATTTATCTCAGCCAATCATATACCTTGAAAAGATGCAGAATGCTGGTAATGAAGTTGCTGGCCACGGTCTGTTTGGGAGCAGCGCAAAAGCAACCTCGCGGTCTTTCCTGTCGCCCTGCATCCGAACAAGAGGCCTTGAAAAGGCAGCAAAGCTTTAAGACGAGCAAAGGTTTCCTCCACGATTTATACTTTTGGTCCGGAAAGGATTTACGCTTAGTTTTACTCAACTATGCTCTTACACATCCCACGGTATCGTTGTAGCAACTAATACCGTATCACTATCTGGAAACAGAAGGAAAGAGAAAAAAAGTGTTAGCTAATAAGATAATTTTCCGCAGCCCTTTTCTTTCTGAGAACCGACCTGAATGCAACTATGACTACCCCTATATAGTAGAACTAGCGCTCTTGTGGGTGTAACATTGTTTTTAGTTAATTTTTTTAATTTGAAAAATGGGATACGTACTACAGTAGTAGTTCCGTATCTAACTACGGAGCGATAAACGACGTTTAGCAAACAACTCCCGCCATCTTCTTCGTGAGTTTGATAGTCCAGTGCGATCTTGATATGATGCCTCGATGTTGCCCGCGATAGAGCAACGTAGAGTTGCCCGTGTGAAAAAACCGGCTGGGGCAAGTACAACCCAAATTCTTGGGAGCGTCTGTCCTTGAGCCTTATTGATTGTCATTGCAAAAGCTAACTGCATCGGGAATTGGCGGCGACGAAGCTCAAACGGCAATCCTTATACTTTATAAAAAGTAAATTTTAGATCTAAGAACTGGAGTGTCGCAGAAATGTGCTATTAATACTTACTGTCGCATAAAAAGTAGTGTCATAGGTTATTTTATGTACCAATCAGAAGCCCAGAAAAGCGTGACTCTACAGACAGACGGATATTTACTTTATAGTTTAAGATATATACAGAATTCCCCGGCAAATCCACAACTGCAGTCGTTGATATTCCTCGTGCAGTCAGTGGTCAGACGCGAA